AAACTGTCGCACGGCGTCGGGTCGTGGAACGATTGGTCCGGCGAGCGGCCGGTGCTTTTTCCGCAATCAGCCGGTAGATTTATGCGAAATTTTTCCAACCAGCGAACGCTTATATTCGTTTTGCTCGCAGGTGCAGCTGCAGCGGTGACGTCCGCGGGCGGTCACGGGTTCGACGCTCATCTACGCGGTCCCAGTTTCGTGATGGAGCCGCCGTCGAGGGTGGAATTTTCAAATTCGAGCGGCGCCTGGCTGGACTGCACCGCTACTGGAAGCCCTCCGCCCAACATCGATTGGTCGACCGCGGACGGACATCCGGTGAACGACGTACCGAGCGTACGGAGGGTGCTCAGGAACGGCACGTTGGTCCTTTTGCCGTTTGCGGCCGCCGCGTTCCGGCAGGATGTGCACAGCGCGGCCTACAGATGTGTGGCGAGCAATTCCGTCGGCAGAGTGCTCAGCCATGATGTGCAGGTCAGGGCAGGTAAGAGAATTAGGAGCAATTCAGATGGTGTTCGGGTGAATGAAAGGATAATTTGATGTTATGAGGGATTTTATGGTTGATTGTTGTTGTAGTGAGTAATACAGTGACGAGAAAGTTGTAGTAATAATTGTAAGGGCTGTTTGGTCTAAATAATACTTATCGATCCGTCCGTGCCTCGTTCCTTTCTGGTCCGCCCTTATCAACTACACGCTTCCTAATTCGTTCTAATACAATCTGTTGCATTCTTATTTAACGCGTCCTTATATACGGGCCTTGACGCCCCTCTCTTGCCTCCGGGAAATCCTGGCACAGGTTCGGGGTTTCTACGGAGCAAGGTCCTTATCTGACCCAGCCCTTAGCGCGTGGGGGTGTCAAGGCGTTGGGACCTCTCGGTCTGCGGGTCATTCATAATAGAATACCATTTTCACTCTTCGTAACAAACCTCCTGCATCGGTATCGTTAAAACCCTAATAACACAGCTTATGATAAAAGTGCAATAAAAGTGGATCTCTAATTTTCTTTCCAAATTCGTTCTTCACAAATCTCTAAAACAGTTTCATTCGGAAGAAGAAACAAACTTCCTACCCCTCTTTCACACTCGCAATGCAAAGCCGCGTGTGCGAATGGAAGCGAGACTTGGGCGTTCAATTCTATTTTACAAGGGGCGATATAACACGACGTAGACGAGCGTTGATTGTATACGGGGCGTTTGGAATAATAGGCGAGGCAATTAAAAAATCATCAAGAGATGCGTCGGCGGTGTTCCTCGAAGGAAGGAAGGAAGGAAGAAGCGAAATCCCGGCGAGTCCTGACGAAGGATGTTTTAAACCCGGTCGGATGCAGATGAGACGCGGCCAGGAGCTTTCTCCGCGCGGAGCTCGGTGTAATTACCTCTTAAAAAAAAAAAGAAGAAAAAAACATAGAGTAGAAAAAAGGAAAAGAGGGGGAAAAAAAAAATGCAATCTGAATGCAAATCCGTGGCAGCTGCGAGGTCGACCCGACGCTTTCAGGATTGCCAACTACTCCCTCGCGGCTATAAAGTTCTGGCCCGGACGTGTGGCCGTTAATTAAAACTTTACTTCCTGCTTTCGGTTTAACGAAAGAAATTTCTATCCTGGACCCGGTTCCGCCGGTCCGAACCGGAAGTTTTCGCGGCCCATTGCAACCTGATTCGTCGCGAGACGAAGGAAATCCAACAGCGAGTACGCCACGGTGATCCCTGCTTCGCCCCGTTTCGTAGAAACGTTCCTCCCGTTCAACATTTCCGGGACAGAACACGGAAAAGTCGTTCCCTCGATTCGATTAAGAAAGACTCTTGGGCAACAACGTGTTGTTTCGCTGAGAGTGAAGAGGATTTCGCCCTAGTTCATGGTTCAGTGCGACGAGCTAAATGTTCATCTTACTGTAATTATTAATATCTCACGTGAATGGAAGTTAATATTGACTTCACTTTGATCGAGAAACATCTATGATAAATTTTTATGCACTCGTCTAGAGATAGGTGCACTTGTGTACGCACAAATGTCGATTCGATAGCAAGTAGCGAGGTTTAACGAGCGTATATCGAAACGGATCGCTACTTAAGATCGAATTTATATCGGTTTTGTATGGCTCGACGTTAAGTACTCAAGGGTTAAGAGTAAAAGGACACACGAATGGCGATCCATTTTTTATTACTCTAGAAAATAAAATAGAAATGTTAATTTAAGTATGAAGTAAGTGCAGTAATTGAAATTAAGTTACTCCTTCCTTAAAAACCTAATTTTCTGTAAAAGAAAGTACACTCCTTTTGTAAGGGTTGTCTGGTCTAAATAATACTTGTCAGAATTTATTTAAACAGATGTTGAAGCTATATTTATTTGTCCGTCCGTCGTTGACGCCTGGTTCCTTTCTGGTCAGCCTCTACCAACTACACGTTTCCTAATAATCTTTCTAATATATTCCGCTTAGTCTTATTCAACCCGTTCTTATATACGTGCCTTGATGCCCCTCCGTTCCTTTCTGGTCCGCCTCTACCAACTACACGTTTCCTAATAATCTTTCTAATATATTCCGCTTAGTCTTATTCAACGCGTCCTTATATACGTGCCTTGATGCCCCTCTCTTGCCTCCAGGAAACCCTGGCACACGTGGCTGGGTCTTTACCTGACCCAGCCCTTAGCGCGTGGGGGTGACAAGGCGTTGGGACCTCTTGGTCTGCGGGTCATAAACCAGCGCGAGTCCCAGCACTCGATCGACCATACTCTTACAAAAAAAATCTCATAAATATAGATATCCATCTCAGTTAGGTCACTATGTGATGAGGAATTTTAGGATTCCTGAAATTCGAGACTCGTTTGATTTCACTTTGGGGTCGTAGGATGCACAGTCCTGCGATCTCGAAGTCGCGGTGCCTAAATCATAAGTTCCGCTCAGAATTTCTACGCAATTAGGCCATAAATGACCATAGTGTACTCTAAAGACTTTTCCTAGACCGTAGAACCCCCATTTTCACACTTTGGGGGTCGTGGGACCACGCATAAACCAGCGCTAACTCGTGAAACCTCAACTTTCCCAGCCTGAAGCAGTCTTACGCGAACTGTACTAATTTGGACTGATAAAATTTGGGGTTTCAAGGCTAAACACAGCGAGCTTTAGGTGAAATTTTAATAGTACAAAGCTCACCTTTATTTTTTACAATTTTGTTTCACCGAGGAAGAGATATATGTGTGACTACAGTCTTTGGAATTTTTAAAATTTTAAACTTGAAAATTTGAAGTCACAATTTTCTACCATTTTCACTTTGCGCAGAGACTCTGATTGTGTTCGAACGCGTTTAATTCCGCGAGAGTATCTGAAAAGGCCGGATGACTTTGAATGGTCTGAAACTTGGGAAAGTCTTGAAACGCTAGAACATCTGGAGTGCTCTGAGAATGATAGAAATATGATGAATTGCTTTTCATGTAAGTTTCTGAAGATTTTAAAAGCTTTCAAAGGTCTCCAGTTTCCGGTGATATCTAAAGTCACTCGAGATTGTCCTTTTAAGAACTTTGCAGACTTGAAACTTTTTGCTTCCCAGGATAGTATTTGCACGTATCCAGCGTTGAAAACGATTTCTGTTTAAGATACCATCGTTCTGAAAACACGAGGATACTAAGAGTTAACGAATACGGCAAGTATTTCGGATAAAAAAAAAAAAGAGGAACACTGGCATTCTTGTTAAAAGATACCTGAATTTGTAAGTATCTTAGGCGAAACACATCTTACGCAAATGAACGTAACGTAAAGACTGTTTACCCAATTTGAATATGCAAATACGCCTGTTCAGAGGGCCAGACTAGGCAGCTATGCAATCTGTTCGACTATAGAACATCTATTACGCGGGCTAATCGTTCGATCTCCTTTATTTCATACCAGACATCAGATTATCATAACCATCATCTTCAATCTACGAGACTCTAAAATTTCAAGTGAAAAATTGCGTATTGTTCAATTTTTAACCCTTTGCGGTCCAAATACAGTAAATTCTCTACAAGAGTCAGTAAGTTTGGATTCTACAAGTGACAGTATAGATGGTCCTACGCCTAGGTCTGCGTCATTGCTGCGCCCATGTTATGTTGTTTACCAATCGGTTTCCTTTACGAGATTACACGGCTCGACAAATCATAATAGAAAAATATAATTTCTCTTCATCTGGAATTTTTTTTAACATGTTGGTGAGATTTTTCTGATGAAAATGATATCAAACACGATATAATTTGAACAACATTTACTTATTAACACGTTCACTGTCGCGCCAGATTTACAGGTTGCTGTCAGGCGGCCACAAGAAAATACATTTTAAGCATAGGATTATAGTATTATGCTTTATAATTTTCTTTTTTTAATTGAAAATAATGTCTAGCTAGCTATGACGTTCAAAATTTTTAGTTGACAACATTTATTTTATTTTAATTATTCTAAACATTTGAGGCACTACAGTCACTGATAACCACCATGGCCATATCGAGGAAACAATCTAACGTTAAAACTTATTGAGTGATTAATTTAATTTCATAATATATCGCTTTAGCGAGCCACCGTTTGCTTGCCAATTGTTTATCACAAAGAGTCGGCCTACCTCCACGTAAAAAAAAAAAAAAAATGTAGGGTCGATAGCAGCAGAAAAGCTGCTAAACAATTAGAATTAAATGTAACGATAGAAATTATTGCAATAATGCGTAATGCAATTGAAAAATTGAAAGAATCAAAAGAAAAAACGCGAATTCATATCTTTCTCGATTCTAGAATATAAGAAAATTTGAATAAAATACGCGACGAGAATTGGGGAGAAGCATAAGTTAAACGCGTAAAAATATTCAATAATAAACGAACTAGGGATGAAGCTATTATTTCAATACGCGATGCACTGACTCTAGTATTTACTAAAATTCAAAAATTCTCGTATAAATTCCGAAAATAGATTATTAATTACGGTAAACTACTGAGACGGTTTAATTAAGGGTGGGCATGGTGCTGCTTTAGTTTGAAATGATTTATAAACACATAATTAACAGAGGAAAAACCGTGAAACGGCAAAACGTCTACATTCTAATTGTTATAACATGTAAACAGAACTTTAAATTTAGTGTAAACAGAAAAAATATATAATACAATTTATTTCACGGTATTGCAACAAATAAACGTTGAATCAATATTTAATTCGTATAAAAACAATTATTTAACGTAATAATTTTACCTTCACTATGGCTATTTTTAATCTACGACCACAGGTCAACCTGATTTCTAATCCTTACGAACTTTAAATTCAGTCTAAACTGAGAAAATATATAATACAATTTATTTCACGGTATTGCAACAAACAAACGTTGAATAGATTCTTAATTCGTATAGAAACATTTATTTAAAATAATAATTTCACCTTCACTATGGCTATTTTAAATTTACGACCAAGGGTCAACCTGATTTTTAATCCTCCGAACTTGATTTCACAACGAGAAAGTAATAAGATCGTTGAAACG